TATGATTATGAGTTGAATGATTCTGATCTGTCAGAATATATGGATTGCCTCAGAAAGAATCTAAATGATGTACTGATGTGCCTAGAAGAAATCCTTGGGATAAAACGATTTATAAAGCAACTGAAAATCGTTCAAAAGAAAATGAGATTTTTGAGATACTTATATGCCACAGAGATAAATGGTTGCGTTGACTATGAGAAGCTGGAATGTTTGAAGACTCGAATTCAGTTCATGGCTAACAATGTGGGACAGTTTTGTCTGGATGTTTCGGTTTATGTTGCTGAGTTTGTAAATAATAATAATGAGGCTGAGGATGATATATTGAATAAACCTCTGTATCTGTTATGCCTGATTGTGCTCGTGGAGCTGGAAATGAAGAAGATTTTTCTTGGCGAACTAAAGGCTTCAAAATTCGTTCAATCAAAAACTTTCAAGGACAAGAAACTACCAAAAGGATTTTCACATCATCTCCACAGTCTGGTGGTGTATCTCAGAAACATAAAGCTCGAGAACTTTCCTAATAATGTCTCTTCTCGAAATATTGATGTGGCAATAGAGATCTTGTTGGTTTTCCTTAATGCTGAAGTGTCATATCATGTTATTGATGGTAACTGGTTGGATGAGGTTATGGAAAAGGTTGGAGCTATAGCGGTTGATATTCTATATGTAATTCAAAAGCTTCTTCCGAGATCTATAAACAAAGATGACACTAGCAAAATAAATGTTTGCTCGATACAGATATTGGAGAAAACTAAAGATCTGAAGGCACAAGTGGAGACGTACTACAAATCCTTAAAATTCACTACATCTCAGTACTTTCCGACTGTTGGTGGATTGAGCTTTCTGGATTCTCTTTTAAGGAAACTGAATGAGATGTCAAAATCTGAATCTGGTTTAGATTTCTTGAAGAAACCTCTTTTTGGTAATTTAGAGAAAGAGCTATCATCTCTTACATCGATTTTAGAAACGGAGCTTTCAACTTTATCATCCATTTTCAAAATGAGGCAAAGGTGCACCATGAACATGAAATTCTTAAAGATCTCCGGAGGCGTACTATCAATTTGGCATATGAAGCTGAAGTTGCAATTGACTCTATACTTGTCCAGTATAATGTTTTTTGGCATATTTTTTGCTCACTTCATACAATCCTAAAAGAGATCAAGCACATTAATGTGGAGGTGACTGAGATGTGGTCGGTGGACGTTGCTCTTAGACCTTGTAATGTGGTAGAATCATCTAAGTATCTGCCAATTACTCGACGTAGCAATCCTGTGAGTGATGATGAGGAGATATTTGGTTTTGAGATAATATCAGAAAAACTAATTCAGTATCTGACTCGAGGGACAAGTGAGCTAGATGTCATCCCTATTGTTGGGATGGGGGGGCAAGGTAAAACAACTTGTGCTAGAAAGTATAATAATGACTACATTGTTTCTCGCTTCGATGTTCAAGCATGGTGCATCATTACCCAAACATATCACCGGAGAGAGATATTACAAGATATTTTCAGTCAAGTGACTGGTTCCAAGGACAATGGAGATAAGGATGACATCCTCGCGGACAAGTTGAGGAAAAGCCTAATGGGAAGGAGATATCTCATTGTATTGGATGATATGTGGGACTGTACGGTATGGGATGACTTATGTCTTTGTTTCCCTGATGACGAAAATAGAAGCAGAATTGTTGTAACAACTCGACTTGAGAAAGTAGGTGAACAAGTCAAGCACTATACCGATCTTTATTTCCTTCTGTTCCTCACACCAGATGACAGCTGCAAATTGTTGCAGAAAAGAGTTTTCGAAAAGGAAGATTGTCCACGTAAACTACAAGATGTGAGTCAAGAAATTGCAGAAAAATGCAAAGGATTGCCTCTGGTGATTATCTTATTAGCTGGAATTATCGAAAGGAATAAAATGGAAGCCTCTTGGTGGCATGAGGTTAAAAATTCTCTGCTTTCCTATCTTGGTGAAGCTGAAGGATATGGTCTTTCGACGATGCAGTTAAGTTATGATAACTTACCAGATTTTTTAAAGCCGTGTCTTCTTTACATGGGGATGTTTCCGGAGGATGCAAGAATTCCAGTGTCTAAATTGATAAGTCTATGGATCGCGGAAGGGTTCGTGCAGAACATTGAATCTGCTGAAGGTTACTTGATGGATCTCATTAGCAGTAACGTGGTAATGGTTTCAAGGAGAAGATACAATGGTAAAGTCAAAGTTTGCGAGGTTCATGATGTAGTGCTTCACTTTTGCTTGGAGAAGAGTAGAGAAGAAAATTTTATGCGGGCAGTGAAGGGACATTATAGCCAGCTTCAACCTTTTGAATGGAAGGAAAGTCGAGTGAGCGTTAGTTTCAGTAATGAGCTTTCCAAGTTTGTATCTCCGAGCACCAAAACACGGGAGCCTTTTCACCAACACTTGAGGTCGTTGATAACGACAAATGGATCAGTAATTGGTACTCATGTTTTTAAAGTGGGACTTCTTAAGGTCTTGGATTTGAGTTCTCATCAAATGCCTCATTTTTCGTCAGCTACATTGAAACCACTAATTCACCTGAAGTACCTCGCAGTTTCCACAGATGAATTCTATTGTCATTCAGAATCACATCTGCCCCATCTGGAAACTCTACTTCTGAGGGGTTTATCCAAGCTTACAGTGTTACCATCGAGTTTTTGGAAAATGGAAAAACTAAGGCATGTTGAGATTGGTAAAGCTGAATTCGAAAACAATAAGCAACAAATCTTAATTTGAAGAATCGTCTAAATTGGAAAATTTGAGGATATTAAGGGGAGTTGAGTTTCCATTTGATCAAGTTGATAGCGCGGATGTGTTATTATGTAGGTGTCCTAATCTTCAAGAACTTGACATCACGTTTAAAGGTGACAAATCTATTAATGTAGTTACTTCTTGGGTTGATTCTCCGGATATTTGTCTCAAACTGGAAAGTCTTACTGAGCTTCAAATACTTCGTGTTTCCTTTCAATGGTCTATACTACTATCTGGGTTGCAGTTGCCTTCAAATTTAAAGAAGTTGGTACTAAGAGGAACTTCTTTATTTAGCTTAAATATAGAAAGCACGATTTCCGTCATTGCAGGACTTCCAAATCTTGAGTATCTCCAATTAAGAGTGGATCCATATAGTTGTTATAAATCAAATGAGTGGTGCCTTAGACATATCACGTTCCATAAACTTAAGGTCTTGAAACTGGTGAAGTTACGCGTCTCAACGTGGGATGCCTCAGAGGAATCTTTTCCATTGCTTGAAACACTTGTTATAAAAGACTCTATGCAGCCCAAGGAGATCCCTCTTAGTTTCGCGGATATTCCAACACTGAAACAAATTAAGTTGATTAGGTGCAACAACAAATTTCTCGAGGCTTCAGCTATGAAAATTAAGGAAGAAGTTGAAGCGATTGAAGGATGTGATCGTATAGACCTCATTATAAAGAAAAAAAGCTAAGCACTGTTCGGACAAAGGTATAACTCTGTTTCTTATTCATATTGTGAATTTCTTGTTGTTGTAACTCATATTGATCAAATGCATCTTTATTTCGATGACACAGAAGCAGGGGAGACAAAAACCCCGCGTATGTTTGTTCATGATCAAGTCAGAATTGATCGCGAGTTGAGCTATGAGACTTTCAGATTTGTGTTAAATTCCCATCATAAACTTTGAAAACGTGGATAAGGATTCAGCTCGGTGTGTCAAAGGCTTGACCAGAATCACCTAAAGCTAGCTCACAAGAAAGGGATTGACCGTGAATCGTGATCATATAAGGAGACCAAGGAACTGAATTGTTGAGATTTCTATCTTATTAATTTGATTATTAGTCAATTTGTTTTCAATAATTACGGTTGCACATAACCAAATTATATCAACATTTAACCTTAGCTTGATCAATTAAATGAAATGTACACTTTTGATCTTTCTGTTTGTGAATCTTCACAAATTTAATGAATTATATTCCATATATCATTTAGCGTATTATGTAACCCTGCAAGATACTTATTCATTCAACCTATATATAGCCTTCGGCAAAATATCTTGAAAATGTGCAAAATATTTATTGCTAGAGAAGAAAGTTTTAATTTTTGATCAATCTATATATAAGGGCTAATTCTATCTAGGCTATGCTGTTGAGACACATATTAGAAATTAAACGAGCTCAAAATGTCATTTTCATGAGTTATTATATTCACGTAACGTACCTTAATTAGCAACCTTAAAAATTCAAAAGAAAATTATAAGTGGTTTGCAGAGATTGAGGGAGAAATTGTTGCAAGTAATTGCAAAAAAGTTTATTTGAGTATTTATGTCTAAGACACTCTGCCTTTTTGAAGTAATTAACTAATTTCACTTGTTATGAATTATTACTTATAATAATAGTTATAAATTTGTTCAGTTGTTTGCTCAACTGCAAAAAATACTCGAAATGTAATCGAAAAATGGAATTTTGTGATGACTTTCCGACTATTTTTAAGTAATCAGCATATTGAAAGTCAGAAGATATTTGCCGACTATATATAGTATTTAAAACATATAAAACTAGACCTAACCGTTAGACTACCTAAATCGTCGACTACCATAGTCGGAAAACTATTAATCACCCCTGATTAAATCCAGATCGCACATTGTAGGGCCCATTCTAGGTGACACTCCCAACAAAATTTTCTCCATACTGCCAGGACTCGAACCCGAGACCTCTGGTTAAGGGTTACGTTTTTAAAATCCATAACATGCTTAAATGGATATAAGGAAAGTAATGACAATCAAGGATGTTGGAGCATTCTTCCAACCATCATGAACTCGAAGGATTTAAAAGAAGAATAGAAGGAAGACTTCAAGATCACCAGTATGCTTAGGTGGCTACATATATAAAATGGTCATTCTTATAATTTGACTATTTTTGTAATATAAGTATAAATAGTCTAACCCAAGATCCATTTATATATATAAAAAACATATCAAGTGACAAGTATTTTGTAAAGTTGGACAACTTAATGATGTTCTTTTTATTCTTTGTAGCCTTCCCTATCATTCTTATTTTTCTTCTTCTTAAAGCCAAAATAAGTGGCAAAAACAATTTGCCACCAGGTCCTTTAGGGTTGCCATTCATTGGAAATTTGCATCAATTTGATAGTTTAACCCCTCATCTCTATTTTTGGAAACTTTCCAAAAAATATGGAAAAATCTTTTCATTAAAAATTGGTTCTACTCCAATAATTGTAATTTCTTCAACAAAATTAGCAAAAGAAGTATTGAAAACACAAGATTTAGTATTCTGTAGTAGAGCTTCTATTCTTGGCCAGCAAAAATTGTCTTACAATGGTCGTGACATAGTCTTTGCACCTTACAATGACTCTTGGAGAGAAATGCGAAAAATTTGTGTTCTTCATCTGTTTAGTCTCAAGAAAGTACAATTATTTAGTCCAATTCGTGAAGATGAAGTATCAAGATTGATCAAGAAAATATCTCAACAAGTTGTGACTTCACAAATCACCAATTTGAGCAATTTAATGATTTTACTAAGTAGTAAGATTATGTTCAGAGTTGCTTTTGGTATTAGGTATGATGAAGAATCACATGAAAGTGAGAGGTTTAATTTTCTTTTAGGAGAATCTGGAGAATTGCTGACTAGCTTCTTTATCTCTGATTTTTTTCCTTCTTTAAGCTTGATTGATAAATTATTTGGAAATATTAGTAGACTTGAGAAGAATTTTAAAGGTTTTGATGAGTTTTATGAAAAACTCATTGAGCAGCATCTTAATCCCAATAGGCCAAAATCCATGGAAGGGAACATTCTTGATATTTTGCTACAATTGAAGAAAGAGAAATCAACACCAATTGATCTCACTATGGAGGATATAAAAGCAATTGTTATGGTAATCTCTTATGTCTTTAAGCTCTCAAAAACACACATTCTTTTTTCTTTGTCAATTTTTTCTTTTCATTTTAAAACTTTTTATGATACAATATTGAATTGATCTTAAATGGAGTGACTTGGATAACAATATATTAGCGTAGCCACATAGAGTAAAGGATGGTCAGTAGAACATCTTTCATCAGAAAATTATATATGTATTGTATAAATAGGTACACCCTTAAATATTTGTTTTCTTTCTTTGTAGAATGTGTTACTTGCGGGATCAGAAACTAGTGCGGCTACAGTAATATGGACAATGACAGCCTTGATGAAAAATCCAAAAGCCATGAAGAAAGTTCAAGAAGAAATTAGAAAATCAATTGGGAACAAAGGCATTGTGAATGAAGATGATATACAAAATATGTCTTATTTCAAAGCAGTAATAAAAGAGACATTTAGATTATATCCATCAGTTCCAACCCTAATACCAAGAGAATCAATGAAAAAATCCACACTAGAAGGGTATGAAATTCAACCAAAAACTATAGTTCATGTGAACTCATGGGCTATTGCAAGAGATCCTGAAATATGGGAAAATCCAGAAGAATTTATGTCAGAGAGATTCTTGAATAGTGATATCGATTTTAAGGGTCAAGATTTTGAGTTGATTCCATTTGGAGCAAGAAGAAGAGGGTGCCCAGGGATGACACTTGGGATTGCATCAGTGGAACTTGCATTGTCAAATCTTCTTTATTCATTTGATTGGGAATTACCTTATGGGATGAAAAAAGAAGACATTGACACAAACGTTAGGCCTGGAATTACCATGCATAAGAAGAATGTTCTTTGTCTTATCCCCAAAAAATATATTTAGATTGTATATCCTCATACGTGGATCTTGGACTAGTTATCTAAGGTTAAATAAATTTGTTACATATGTAATGAACCCTTCTGCATATTAAACTTAGTAACTTTAAATCTTGAATGCACCTGACTTTATCGTTTAGAATATTGTATTTTAGTCTTAAGTCCAAAAAGACTAATAATAACAAAGATTATGGACAAAACAAAGTAAATGGAATTACGTAAAGCTTAACTCAGGAGGAGGGGATTATCCAAGACCATATAAGGAGATTGACCCAGGAACTTGTTGAGATTTCTATCTTATTCATTTGATTAGTTTATTTGTTTTCAATAATTCTGCTTGCATAGAGCCAAATTATATCGTCATTTAACCTCCAATTAAATGAAATGTACACTTTTGATCTTTCTCGTCGTGAATCTTCACAAATTCTATGAATTATATACCATATATTTTTAATTAGTTACGTATGTGTTATGCTAATTTTGTACTATAACCTTATCCTTGCTAGATATTTATTCATTCAACCTATATATAGCCTTTGGCTAATGCTATAGAAGTTATATTGACAATTATCTTGAAAATATGCAAAATATTAATTGCTAGTGTACAAAGTTCATTTTCAAGACCCAATTTTTGGGCCAATAATTTTTATATGTCACTTTCATAATTATATGCCTTTGGTCTTTTTCTATGTTACCCCAATTATTTGCTTTTTTTTTTGGAAATTTCTTATTGCAACCTAAAAAAGTCAAAGAAAAAGATGTGGTTTGAAGAGGTTGAGGGACATATATTATATGGTTCATATGAAATGACACAACAAGATGACTAGTATTTTGTGAAGTTTGGACAACAAAATGATGCTCTTTCTACTCTTTGTAGCCTTTCCTATCCTTCTTATTTTTCTTCTTCCTAAAGCCAAAAGGATTGGCAAAAACAATCTGCCACCAGGTCCTAAAGGCCTCCCATTCATTGGAAATTTTCATCAATTTGATAGTTTAGCCCCTCATATCTATTTTTGGAAACTTTCCAAAAAATATGGAAAAATATTTTCATTAAAATTTGGTTCTACTCCAATAATTGTGATTTCTTCAGCAAAATTAGCAAAAGAAGTGTTGAAGACACAAGATTTAGCCTTTTGTAGTAGAGCTTCTCATCTTGGGCAGCAAAAATTGTCTTACAATGGTCGCGACATAGTCTTTGCACCTTACAATGACTCTTGGAGAGAAATGCGAAAAATTTGTGTGCTTCACCTATTTAGTCAAAAGAAAGTTCAATCATCTAGTCTGATTCGTGAAGATGAAGTCTCAAGAATGATCAAGAAAATATCTCAACATGTTGTCACTTCACAAATCACCAATTTGAGCAATTTAATGATTTTACTAAGTAGTAGTATTATTTTTAAAGTTGCTTTTGGTATTAGGTATGACGAAGAATCACATGAAAGTAGGAGGTTCTATTTTCTTTTTGAAGAAGCTGCAACAATGATGACTAGCTTCTTTGTGTCTGATTTTTTTCCTTCTTTAAATTGGATCGATAAACTTACTGGATTGACAAATAGACTTGATAAGAATTTCAAGGAGTTGGATGAGATTTATGAAGAACTCATTAAGCAGCATCTTAATCCCAATAGGCCAAAATCCATGGAAGGGGACATTCTTGATGTTTTGCTCCAATTGAAGAAAGAGAAATCAACACCAATTGATCTCACTTTGGAGGATATAAAAGCAATTGTCATGGTAATCTCTTATGTCTTAAAGCTCTCAAACATACATTTTATTTTATATAATACTGAATTGATCTTAAATGGAGCGACATGGATAATTCAGATAACAATATAATGACGTAGCCACATAGAGTGAAGCGTGATCAGTAAAACATCCTTCATCAGAAAATTATATGATTCTTTCTTTGTAGAATGTGTTACTTGCAGGATCAGAAACTAGCGCGGCTGCGGTAGTATGGACAATGACAGCCTTGATAAAGAATCCAAAAGCCATGAAGAAAGTTCAAGAAGAAATAAGAAAATCAATTGGGAACAAAGGCATTGTGAATGAAGATGACATCCAAAATATGCCCTATTTCAAAGCAGTGATAAAGGAGGCTTTCAGATTATATCCATCATCTCCACTTTTACTGCCAAGAGAAACAATGAAAAAATCCACACTAGAAGGGTATGAAATTCAGCGAGGAACTATAGTCCAAGTTAATGCATGGGCAATTGCAAGGGATTCTGAAATATGGAAAAATTCAGAAGAATTTATACCTGAGAGATTCTTAAATAGCAATATTGATTTTAAGGGACAAGATTTTGAGTTTATTCCATTTGGAGCGGGAAGAAAAGGGTGCCCAGGGATGGCACTTGGGGTTGCATCAGTGGAACTTGCATTGTCAAATCTTCTTTATTCATTTGATTGGGAATTACCTTTTGGGATGAAAAAGGAAGACATTGACACAGATGTTAAGCCTGGACTTACCATGCATAAGAAGAATGATCTTTGCCTTATCCCTAAATATTATATGTAGATTGTATATCCTCGTAAGTGTATCTTGGGCAAGTTCTGTAAAGTTAATTAAAGTCGTTACATAATACCACATCATGTATTATTTACATGTCTAACACATATTGTATATCTTCATAAGTGTATCTTGGGCGAGTTCTGTAAGGTTAATTAAAGTCGTTACATAATGCCACATCATGTATTATTTACATATCAAACACATATTTAAAATATAATAAACCCTTGTGAATATTAAACTTTATGACTTTAAATCTTGAATTCACCTTTTAACTTATCGTTAAGAGTATTATGTCTTAGTCTTAAATCCAAAAAGACTAGTAATAGAAAAGACACAAAATAAAGCTAAGAGAAATAGCAACAATTTGAAGGGGGTAGAAGATATTATCAAAAGCGAAACATGACAGGTAAAAATGAATTGACCATTACAAAAAGTAATCCTTCTCCTCAAGTAGCCTTCCAAGATGTATATGCTAATATTTTTAGCATGAAAGAAGCAAACAGTCTAGAGATGTATATTGAAACTTTAAATTATATATGAGAGCTATAATCCTTACTACAATCAGCTACATGATTAACAAGGAATTTAGTACAAAATCGAAGCACAGACGAGAGGTTGGCAGCAGAGATGATGCATGCAGTCTTTGCTGGTATCAATCGAACTCCTGGAATCTCGTTTGTTTTCTCAAGAAGATTGCACCGCCAGTCGCTGAAGATGCTGGAAGAAAACTTGGAGACTTACATCATCAGTGAATATCACATCTGAACCTGCTGCCATATCGTTTGCATTATTGTATGTGGCTGAGGGATTCAACTTTGCCAAAAGAAATCTTGCCTGGTAAAAGCATATGGGGAAATATTAGAACAAGATAATAAGCATAAACAACCAGAAAATTATGTCAAATGCAACTTTATCCCTTCGAGAGGGCAGGGCAACCCAGTGCATTAAGCTCCCTCTATGCACGGGGTCTAGGGAAGGGCCAGACCCATTGTATGCAGCCTTACCCTGCATTTCTACAAGAGGTTGATTCCATGGCAACAACTTTACCAATTACGTCAAGGCTTCCCCTTCCCAGTTCCCACCCTACGAAAGTTCGTTCTGTTTTTCCCTCCAACAGAAGGCACATCATACCAAAAGAAAAATCTAGAGAAAAAAAAACACTTTGCATCTCGGATTTCGAGGAACTTATGATCCATTATACTCCACAACATGTTGTGCTGATGTAGTACAAAGCAACAAAATCTTACAATCCCAATACGATGCTTACCTGGGAACCATGCTGATCACACACTACAAGTCTAGGAACAGGAAACCTCTCCTGGATGAGTGCTTGGGCCTCGTCATGAGGAACTTGCAATAGATGCGCAAATGCCTGAAAGAACCAAGGAAAATGGACATCAATTTGTTTCACAATCACAAATGATGGTGAAAAGAATTCCAATATAGCCATAACGTATTCCACAAGATTGGGAATGGAGAAGACAGAGATTTCTAATTTAGCATAAAGGATCTCATCATTTAGAAGAAGACAGCAAAGCAATAAACTGTACCTGATGCTCTGGCTGGTTCTGGTATCCCAAATTTCTCCATTGAGCTATTGTCATTCCATGGAATATGACAACACTGAAGTACGAATCCAACAAAAGAATGCGATCAGCAGCAATTGATGCCACATCCAGTAAAGCTGGAGAAGGCAGCGTATTGAATGAAAATGCCATTAGTGTAGGTTGAATCATAACAACAGCATTGCTTATACTCTCTCGGTAGAGCAGCATCCGGAAATATGCTGTCTCATCGGGACTATTATTGAAAACCTGTGATGTCCACACATTAATGATAGACAATAGACCGTGCATCCATGATATACATTCAAAAGTTGAATGGAACAAAAAAAGAGAGGCTGGGTTATATTACTTGCAAAAATTGTGATCGCCGCAAATGAAACATGAACTGAGGGAGCAGAGAAAAACAGGGATTCAAAGTGAAAGATGCAGGATCATCCTTCCTATATTCGCCAAACTTTGAACACAGGCGAATCAGATTCCGATCTAGCCACCTTGTGGGATCAAAATCTTCCTGGAAAGTGAAATCTATTAATCAGGATTTATCAATTAAATATGCAGAGAAGCAAGAACTGAAAGATAGTATCAACTCAGGTAGACTGATTCAACAATGCTTCATACAAGCAAAAAAGGAGGAGAATGAGTTGAGTAGGATCAGTCCAGAAAAACTTTAGAAGCACACTCTCTTCAACTTTGATCTCTTAATATCGTAATGGATTTAGGAATAAATTCTTCCACTGTTTGGCTCATATGCAACATCATGTCACTATTAATTTAGTCAAGCAATGAGGTTGTTACCATCCGTACTTTTTGTGTGAATAGAACATTTGAGAGTATAGAGAATTTGTTGTTGAGATCCAACTTTTTTCTTTTGAATCTTTGGTATAAAATGGAAGTATGGACTTGTTTAGATAGCCAACTAGGGTTTTCGGAGGCATGATGCATGTGCTCACATTATATTTTTGTAAAGATCATGACATCATGGTGTAGTATAAATACATTATTTTTGGCCAAAAAGTAGATATTGTACTATTTACAAACTGGAAAGGCAAACAAAGACAAAGATGACTAGTAGGCATCTACACATAATTAAGTAAATAGAGCAAACAATATTGTGTAGAACTAATTATAGCTTGAAAATGATACCTCTAGCTCCATTTTATAAGAAGCCAATCTAGCCATTACTACGGCAGCAGCTTCCTGATCAAACCCTTGCACCAAGTCCTACAAACATAGATTTATTGCACCATCAGTATCAACACCTGTATGCACCCTAGAAAGTTCATCAAAGCCCTTCCAGAAAGAATTGTCATACGAAAAAGTTTCCAGAGAAAGAAATACACAAAAACATACAGCATAACAACATGGAAAAGCTTATCATTAATTGATGGAGTCTGAAATTATAATGAGGATGACTGAACAAACATCAAAACAAACTTCACAAGAGTTTTAAAATGAGCTTGAATCCTTGGCTGTTAAATGTATAAAACTTCTCTAGTTATCTCAAAATGGAAATTCAATTGCATAATACGGGGGAAGGGAGCAGTACTACTTCAAAGAATACTGCTCTTCAATTCAGAAATGTAATTCCCATGAAAAATATCAGTCTCATGAAGTACTAGTCAAAAGACAAATTTAAGATAAAAAGATAAAATTAGGAACAAATAAAAGTAATATCATTCTCTATGCTTGGGAAAAGATACGTGTGAACTATATAAAAAAGAACAAAATAGACTTCATTGTATTACAAATGACAATATAAAATCAAAACTCGTCATTACAGACCTCAGTGCCAACACCAGCATCAACCCATCTCCTAGTAATGGTTGTAACTCGTAGTTTTGTTTGCCCATCAGGGCTCTGATAACTGCACAGCCAAGAACCAACAAATTTTGGTTACACGATAACATCTTCTTTTTCTAGTATACCCTCACAATATATATTGAATACAGAATGTTCTATCCATCAAAAGTTAAGTAAATATCAGGTTACATTAACTGTTTTCAAAAGAAATAGTAACAATTAAAAAAAAGTAGAGCTGAAGTTTTCTAAGCACCTTGTAAGAAACTGTATGTACAATTGTGGATTTATATTGCCTGAAGGATCTGACTTCTCACTAGATGAAACATCATAGAAAACTGTCAAGCAAGTGTTTTTGTCGAGACCACAGAGCTTCCAAGCTGTAGTATTCCCCTCACCAGTAACTGTGCTGGAGACGGCAGGTCCTTTCTGCATAAGACTACATGATCAGTATCAAATAATTTCTGAAAATGTCATATTTGAGGATAAATCTTGGTTTACCAGGTCGATTCTTTCGGGTTAGCCGTCTAATATTAGGTCAATGTATTACGGCTGAGAATGTGAAAAACTAAAGTACACCAACCTTCTCAAGAGATGTGCAAGGACCAATTATCCCTTGAATTTTAATATCCTTGGAGCAGTTGATCTCTAATGTAGCACTAGAACAAAATTAAGTCATCAGATTCATGATCAAATAGTTGAAGGAAAAATAAAGCACATCCAAGCAGAAGAGAGACGTATCATTTTAAGAAATACTCACTCTACAGAATACAAGCAAGATAACTTTAAATATTTACCTCTCAAACAGTCCAAATATGGGCATCCCTAGCTTAATGGAAGTCTGCCCTCTCCTTCCCTATCCCCTAGGAAACCCTTCTCACTCTTCTATTTAAGGTAAGAGTAAAGGAAGGGCATTTTGGGGCTTATGCAGTTCAACATTGGGGATAATGCGTTGTTTGTGAAGGTGGTATATAATAATGTTGGTAATAAAATTGGGGTGAACATTTTAAATGTTACCAAATAGAAAGAATTTCACATAATTGGGACATAACTCAATCAGTTTTTCACCGAAAAAGTCCATTTCTTCTTTGCAATTCCCTTATCTCATCTTCAATGTTAACAACCTGAGCTTCATTCTATCCTCAGAGAAGAAGCTAGCTGGTGGAATAGTCGCTCATACATTGGTTATTTGTGCTGAATTTCTACATCAAATAGTTATTCTTGAAACATATCCTTCTCTATTATTTATTTCTAGAACTTGTGATGATGCTAAGTTTTAGACATCTATGCAATTGACAAAGATGCTTTATCAAGTTCTTTAATAGTGCCTGGTTCACTTAACAGCTCACAGTGTCCCAGCTAGAAGAAGGAAATTTCCCACCATGAACTTGAAAATATTTCAATAGTCACAATAACCATATTAAATGGATAAACCATAACCCTTTCACATGAAGGAAAATAAATGACATATCAAAAAGCTCACTTGAAGCAAAGCCCAAGAGACTGTTCACCAACTTCAAATACACGCTTGAAGGAATCTTTGAAAACAGAATGCCCAAAGCTTTCAGCAAGAACAACTTGTCCTCCAGTCTTTTCAATAGCTACTTTCATCTCTGCAACTCCAACCTAAAAAAACAATACTAGTCAAAAGATAACATCTCTTATGAATCGATCAGATTCATCAATAAGTCAACAGACCTCTCTAGTAAGGGATAGAGTTAAGTTTTCACATTCAATTGATGAGGCTAATAATACTAAAAATCAAAATATACCCGCACCAAGAAAAGAAAATGCTTACACATTAATATATTTTTCGATAATTTAACAGATAAACCTAAATAATTAAATACTGTCCAGGATAAAATGCTTCATCTGAAAGTGAACACCAGTTTTCATTTTAATTAAGGACAAGTGAACACCAGTCTCTTGCACCAAAAGCTTATAAGACAAACAACACAGTTCATGGAGACAAGTGGTTGATCAAGTCAAACCTGGTCAAGTGCTGAAGCAAAAACATCTAAGATGTGACCGTGACTAACGAGTTGCTTTGCGAGTTCCTCGTAGAAATGAACGGCCTTTCTAAAAAATGGTGCAGCATCCTTGTGTAGATCTTTATGAGAACGAACAGGTTCTGATAAATCCTTCGACACAATCTACAAAAACAAACAAATAAGGAAAAGAAAGTCACTTAAGAAGCATTGTTAGGCAAACTTTCTTCAGAATGAGGCCAAGTTCAATTGATTGTTTAAATTTCATGCAAAAAGAAGTCTCTTAAATCATTTGACTTGCTAACCTATTAAATTTCCTGGTTAGAAATCTGGCCTCAACGTATAGGGTGATTATTCAGGAGCCTTAAGAGGAGAAAAGGAGGGCAGACAGAGACCAATTTAAGTGGCAAACAGAATGCTTAAAACAAGATAAATACGCATATTAAGTTCTTGTTGTTGAAGTACCTTATGATCCTCATCTTCTTAACTCACTAAGATATCCTATATATCAAGTTATTCTTGAGGAAAACAAATGTTTAGTGAAGGTATAGTACACGTGATTTGGTTGGTCAAAAGTTGAAATCCTATATACAATTAACTCAAATTTTAGTTATCGAATGATACCAATGCTAATCTAATACTACTCATCTGCTAAGAAGGTTTACTGCAGAAGGCAATGATAAGCCAAATAGTCTCCTTCATGGATAAGCAAGGAGGACAACATTAAAGAGTGTGTGAAAGACAGGAGGAGACTGATTGGTGACAATGGTGCTTTTATGACAGCTAGAAGTGATTGCCTTGAAGGGCATTTGCAGCATAAGAATATTAAAAATCCTTCCTTTTCCAGAAGAATTTAGATTGTGCACAATCAGACAATCAAAAATGTAATCATTTGTCAATAAGAAATCATTCAAACACTCAAAAATTCCCCAGTAACTCCTTAGGATATTGGAATTCGTAGAGAACTAAGAACAAAACAGAGCGAAAACAAAGTCAAAACTCACCGCGCCAGGTCCTTCAGTGCAAGGACCCCCAACTAATGCAACAATTCGAGCACCTGCCCCAGCCAAACAAGCACCAAGCAGACCAGTTGCCACACTCAATGCCACCCCAGTGCAGCGTGATGCTCTGTTTCCCGGTGTCACAGGCCATTGATCCGTATTCAATTCATCTAGCAACTAAAAAAACAACACACAAGAACAAAATCAACATTAAATTAACAACAGCTACACCACTCAAAGTCTCAAAGTAATCAAAAAGACAGCATTTTTAACCAACAAAGAACTCACCGAATCGAGTGTATACTCACACTCAGAAGCAGGTAACAAGAACCTAGTCAACCCGTGATTAGGTCCACCATTCACCCCAACACCACCACCCTTCCTACCACTAATACTACCAAGTCCTAACTGATCCAAAACTTGATCTTTCGACAAGTCCTTCGAACCCTGAAACACAAAAACCTTCAACATATCCGAAAACCCAAGTTCATGTACCTGCACCTGTGTACCATACGAAATAAACCCAACCATAGCATAATCAGGCAAAAGTCCAATAACCCTTTTCAATGCAGATTTAGCAAACTCCAATTCTTCATCCAACATACAAGTATCCAACACAAACAAATACACAGGTGGAGAATTATGACCACCAGGGTTCTGAATCGCATACTGAATAGTAGTAAATTGCGGATAAAGCTCAGCAGGTACATTCGTTTCCGAAATTCCCGAATAATGCTGAGGGAAATGATTACGTTGGAAACAAAACGGACAGATCCAAATTAAAGCTTGAAAATCAACACGACAAAAGGGGTTTAAGATTGATGAACAAGTTTTGCAACGAAGGGGAGCGTAAGGTAGGGTAGGTAGATCAGGGAAAGGACGAAGCAATTGAATTGAAGAAGCAATTGGGATTATACATTTGCTTGCTTCAACTTTGGTTCTTGGCCAAGAATTCCATGTCATACGAACTCCATCGATGCCTTCTGGGTCTGTTTGTGCCATTTCAGTCGCCATTTTTGAAGGGTTTTTGAGAGATTTGGGAATGACCCAGATGGAGAAAAGAGATAAAGATTGAGAATTTGGGGATTTTGAGGGTTTTGGTTAATGTGAATGAATCTGGAATTTTGATTTTGTATTGCTACATTATATGATCATTCTGTATTAATCCCCATTGTTTGATGCAAGCAAGAAACTGAACCTTATTATATTAAAAAATTATATTTTTCCCTAAAAAGAACATCTATTTTCCTTTTTTGTTCTTTTTGAGTTTTAGTCAAATACTATTAATTAGTACTTGTTACATTTCAATTCGTCTATCGTATTTTAACTTGACATAAAATTAAAATAAATTATATTCTTACATTTTATGCTCTTGAGTTAAAAATATACCGCAATACTTTAAAAATATGAAAAATTGAAATTAAAATATGGAACTATCTTTAGACTTAAAAACTAATCAGTCACCATAGCTAAGAACTCTTTAGAACTCTCCAGATTTCTTGAACACTTCATCAATTCATAGAACACTCTAGACCCCCAGAGTGACCTTCTATATAAACTCACAAGCTGCAATGCATTTCTCAACAAATCTTGAAAACCCCACATTTTCAATCTGCATTTTGCTTGAAATTAACTATCTTTTGAGCTTTTTTTCAAGAAATTGTGAATACCCTTTACATTCTTTAGTACTAAGAAGGAAGCTATGGATGAGGATTTTGAGTTTCCAGTATCTTCTTCTAACAATGCTGCTGCTGAAGAAATGGATATAGATATGGGGATGGGGATGGATGATTTCTCTGAACCTGACCCGATTATGAAGGTTGATGAAGAGAAGGAGATAGGGAAAACTGGGATAAAGAAGAAGCTTTTGAAAGAAGGTGAAGGTTGGGAGCATCCTAGTAAAGGAGATGAAGTTGAAGGTGAGCTCTGTCCTTGTTATCTATTTTGGAGAAAAGGGTTTTTTTTTTAGGATTAATTGGTGGTCTGAATGATGCATTATGCATGTATTTGGATTAAAGGACTGATCTTTTTAGCAAAAATTTGCTTTCTTTAATTGGTGATTTGAATTTATGGAGTCATTTTTAATACTAGTAGTTGTAGTATTATTGCTCCTGTAATTTATTGTCATTTGATATGTTACTGTTTGTTGTTGCTTGTATACACTTCTATTTATTCTTTTTCTGGACTGCTTTAGATTGATTTTCGTTTAGCCGAGTGTCTCCCATAAATGATCTCTCTACCTATACACTTCAACCTTCTCAAATCTTACTTTGTGACACTAGACTGGGTATATGTTGTTGTTGTTGTTGCTTGAGATGAGATCGAATGGAGCTACATTATCAGGATCCATATAGTCGATCCCAATTTGTATATCCATCCCCAATTACTTTCGAATTGAGGTGTAGTTGTTGTTGGTTTTAGATGATAGAATTATGCAAGTTTTTGGCCTTACAATATTGGTTTGAGATAAGATCTAACGGAGTTGACATGATCAGGATTGAGGCATAGTAGTTGTTGTAATCAATTGGTGTTTGTTTCTTATGATAGAATTATGCAAGTTTTTGGCTTTAGTTTGGATGAGGATGAAATTTTGCTTGGATTAACAATATTATATTGGTCTTTACAGTTCATTATGTGGGTACATTGCTGGATGGAACTCAATTTGATTCAAGTCGTGACCGTGGCACCCCGTTCAAGTTTAAGCTTGGCGAAGGTAATCTCCTTTCTGTTAGAGTATTAGTGGTTTGGTATAGTTTGGTTTATGGTGTTAGATGGAGCACTGTGCTTCCTTATATGCTTTCGGTTTGCTATTAGAGCTAGGCCATTTCCAATTTATTGTTTACCATATGTCTCTCACATTGATGTGGTGTGGGATGGATCAACATGCTTCTTTATAGGGTCTTAGGCAACCCTCGAGCTAGTCTTTGGGGTTAGTTAGGCCCAAAGTCCATTTTCTTATCAGAACGAACTTAGTTTTAGCCTTTAGGGACGGCATGTGACAATTGATATCTTTGACAATGGAATTTGATTTTTCATTCTTTAAAGTATATAGTGGTTCTTATATATATATAGTTTTGATAAGTGCGATTAGAGGTTTGATGGATCGTTGTTATTGTTATAGGACAAGTGATTAAAGGGTGGGATGAAGGTATAAAGACAATGAAAAAAGGGGAGAAAGCTTTGCTCACTATACCTCCAGATATGGCATATGGTGAATCTGGATCCCCTCCAACTATACCTCCAAATGCGACTTTACAGTTTGAAGTGGAATTGCTTTCTTGGATTAGTGTCAAAGACATATGCAAGGATGGTGGAATATTCAAGAAGATACTTGTCGAAGGAGAGGGATGGCAGAATCCGAAAAATCTTGATGAAGTGTTTGGTTAGTAGACTATCAAATTTTTCACGTTCTCCGTTGTGGTTTTTCTTCTCAAGAACCTTAGAATTGATGTGATTTCTTTTGTGGTTTCTTGATTGCAGTTAAATACGAGGCACGCCTCGAGGATGGAACGGTTGTGTCAAAATCCGATGGAGTGGAATTCACTGTGCAAGATGGTATCTTTTGCATTCATTTTTGCTATGTTGCTCAGAGTCTTCAAAAATGTTGATGGATACATATTGGATCATCCACGGATGCACAACATTTTTTGGAGAGTCCGAGCAACATAGCTGTTTTGGCTCTTTTTACTCTCCTTCTGAAGTAGAATTAATAACATTAATGTGGTGTTTTCTGTATAGGCTATTTCTGTCCTGCTTTGTCGAAAGCTGTTAAGACAATGAAGAAAGGAGAGAAAGTCTTACTGACAGTGCAGCCACAATGTAAGTTAAAGCCACTTGTGCTCTAGATATGTTCTTCGTATTCTTTTATTATGTGATGATTAACTGATGTTTCTGCAGATGCATTTGGAGAGACAGGTAAGGTGGCAAGCAGAGACGAAGGTGGTGTCCCACCAAATGCCACCCTTCAAATAAATCTTGAATTGATTTCTTGGAAGATTGTCTCTGAAGTAACAAATGACAAGAAGGTTCTGAAGAGAATTTTGAAGGAAGGAGAGGGCTATGAGCACCCAAATGACGGTGCTCTTGTAAAAGGTATGAAAAAAGAGAAACTACTTAGTGATCACGATACAGATAGAGATTTATGATTATCCTTCTGTATTAATTTGCTTGTTCTTGCAGTGAAATTAATCGGAAAACTTCAGGATGGAACTGTTTTTGTGAAGAAAGGACATGATGAGGAGGAGCCGTTTGAGTTTAAGATAGATGAAGGTAATGTCTTTTCTCTACTGATTATGCCAATTATTTGATAAATTTTCACTAATATCTTTTTTCTATCTACTGATAATGCCATAGTTTCTGACTTCAGTTGAATTCTTTATACAGAAAAAGTAGTCGATGGACTAGATAAAGCGGTGAAAAAAATGAAGAAGGGTGAAATTGCTCTGATAACAATGCAACCAGAGTATGCATTTGGTGCATTCGACTCTCCTCAAGAATTAGCTGTTGTTCCTGGCAATTCGATCGTGTATTATGAAGTTGAGTTGGTGTCATTTGTGAAGGTTGGTGCTCTTGAATTTTCTTTGTTTTCCTTATCTTAAGCAAGTGACAATGGAAGCAGCGGTGGAACTAAGGGGGCGGAAGGGGTTCACTCCGAATCCCTTCGCTGATAAATTACATTGTATAGACAAGGTCAAAAAGTATCTGTTTTCTAGTTTAGAAATACCAGATGTTGAATCCCCTGGCTTCGTTGTGTTTATTTGTTTATATTTTGGATCCCCTCAGTGAAAATCCTGGTTCCGCTGCTGTTGGGAAGAGTAAGACGTCTTTTATTAATCATCAAAAAACTAAACATGCAGGAGAAGGAATCCTGGGATATGAATACTCAGGAAAAAATTGAAGCTGCAGGAAAGAAAAAGGAGGAAGGAAATGTATTGTTCAAGGCTGGGAAGTATGTGAGAGCATCAAAGAGATACGAAAAGGTAAATTTACGGTTGAAGTTGATGAAAAAACAGTTTTATGACCTTATTATTATGATGACATATTGTTGACTATGCTCCTTTATACTGTTCAGGCTGTGAGCTTCATCGAATATGACTCCTCGTTCAGTGATGACGAGAAGCAGCAGGTAAAACTGCTCAAAGTTAGTTGCAATCTGAACAATGCCGCGTGCAAGCTGAAACTGAAGGAATACAAAGAAGCAGCAAAACTCTGTTCTGAAGTCTTAGAGATTGACAGTAAAAATGTCAAAGCTCTATACAGAAGGGCTCAAGCTTACATACAACTCGTTGATTTGGACTTAGCAGAACTTGATATCAAGAAAGCACTTGAAATCGATCCAGATAACAGGTAAAAAAAGATTGTCTTTTCCTATGTTCCTCGGACCATCAACAATATTGGTGCACCCATGTCGGATTTGACACACACCTGACGATATTTTTGAAGAGTACGAGCAACAAAACATTTAAATCATATATTATTGTGCTTATACTGTGATATGGATGATTCAGGGATGTCAAGTTAGAATACAAAGTTTTGAAAGAAAAGATAAAGGAGTACAACAAGAAGGATGCTCAATTTTATGGCAACATTTTTGCAAAGATGAACAAATTAGAGCAAGTAAGTTGACAAAATGACACTAATGAATAGTTATTGTATTTCAGATTAGATATTGATTCTGTTACTTAATGTAAATGCAGAGTGGAGAAGCAAAAAATGAGGCAGCACCAATGGCTATAGATAGTAAGGCTTAACCAAGTACATGACACAAATTATGGAATTAATGTCTCTTCCATAGTGTGCAGTCAAAAAGATATGTATGTAGTTTTAGTTATCATTGGATTTGTTTGTACTTGAGAAAGTGTTTTGAGAAATGCATAATAAATAATCTTATCTTTATATACTTTGACTGAGCATGGAGCTTATGAGATAAAAGGATGATTTTTGAATATTGCGATCTTAATTTGTTATGGAATGTTAACATACGCTAAACATAGAAAGAGACAAGAATATATATAACTTAAACCCTTTTAGTATTATGCAATAATCTACTTGAATGTGCGACTAAGCTTGCCAAGAAGTATTCTATTCACTATATATACCTTGTAATTGTAAAATTTTGACTCTAAAATCGAACCATATCATATAAATTGGACCAGAAAAAAGTAAATTTCACGAGTTACTTGAAGTTGCAACAATAACTCATAAAATAAGAGCAACTTCATTAGGTAAAAACTCCAAATTGCATACATTATAACTAAAATACAAAAATCACAACAAAACCTCCTAGATAATAGTGGTTTATTCATTGGCAATGTCAAACAATTGAACACATACACACATGAGTATGTGTCCAAATGAAGACAACAAGAAGCCTTATTTTCTTAAAAGGACAAAAAAACCAACAACATATGTTTAGGACACAAAATGATCAATCAATTCTTGACATCATCTTCAAATACAGCATCAGGTGTTTGATGAGCAGTGAAACAACATTTTGCACATCCATTGCCATAACGGAACCCACGGCAACAACCATATCGGCAACCTCTCCATGGATATCCGTTACGTCCTCCTCCTCCACGTCCAGGGTAGCCCCCACCACGTCCATTCCCCGGGTATCCACCACCTCCGAGCTGAGCTTCTTGTACATCACCACTCGCCTTGTTTTCTTCTATAGATCAACAACAAGCAGAAAGAATGAAAGACAGATTCATAATTTAAACTTAATAATTTCATGAATAGTTACTATGGTACGTATGTTACGTTGTGAGTTCTTTGTAATCATTAGTACAAAACTACTTCCCATTTTGGACATCATTCGTATTTGCAAATATTAACTAGTCGTGTTATATATATATATATATATATATATTTAAACACTATATAACTATGTAAATAATAATTTCTATAACTTAAGTTTAATTAATTAACAATTGAGAATAATTACTTACTTTGAGTAGATTGAGCTCCCACTTGGAAAGAAATAAGGACAATAGCAAGCAAAAGACCAAAAATGAGCAAATTTTTTGTTGAAGCCATTTTGAAAAATAATTGTTTTTAAGTATCTAAAAGATATAGAGTATAGTGTGATGGATCAAATGAAATGAACCAAAATTCTATTTATAGAGCACAAAAAATCTTACTATTTAATTTTAAGGATTAAAGATTTGCTGGCGTTGAAGATTTCACGTGAATATAAGTATGGGACTTGTCATTTTTATTTTTATTTTAATGATATTTTGGACCAAATTAAAGGCTTCTGAATATTATTAGAGTCCCCACACTTCCATACAGTGACTCTGATGAAAAGAATGGATTTTAAAAATATTTTTTACTTCAATAATTGTTCTTTCGTCATGCATGATGCTCTCTTTTACTACTACTATACCAAAAAAATATATAATATTATTGATCTTATATCTTTATTTGAATTTTGGGCGTATTTTTGTAAGACTCAAAATAACACCAAAAAGAAAAAAAAAAAAAAAGCATAGTATTCCTATGATAAAATGAAAATTTTTGTGTCGGCAATCCGTAACGTCCAGACAAACGTGTCTTCTACTTAATGACTTCAAGTACACAATTTGCATTCAAACAGTACTCAACGGTTTATGGAATTTTACAATTTACATCAAGTATTCGCTATGTTCTTCATCGATATGAGAACTCAGATATCTGTTGACGAGAGTCATTTTAAAATTAGAAAACATGATTCAAATAAAGTTTATTTTTTGAAGAAAAAAAAAAGTCTATTTGTACAAGTCTTATTGATATATAGTTGTCAACTAGATTTGAACTGTAGTAAAAGGGTCAAAGGCAACATCTCCCCAACCACTTTGTTAATTTAAAAAATAAAATATTTCAAAAGTTCGTGAAAAATTCGTAGTGTAAAATTATGGCTTTAGGGATAATGATCTAAAAAATATCCCAACTTTGGTCGAATTTGCTGTTGCGATACTAAACTTTCATGAGGATCTATTACCTCCCTAGACTATTTAATACCGTATTTTAAACATATATATTTGCCCACTTGGACATAAAAAATAATGCAAAATTATAAATAGTAATGTGTCCATGTGGGCACATATATGCCTTTAAAATACACTATTAAATAGTTCAGGGGCTAAACAATACTGTATTAAATAGTCTAGGGAGGTAAAAGGTCCTCATGAAAGTTTAGTATTGCAACAGCAAATTCGACCAAAGTTCTGATATTTTTCAGACCCTTATCCCCTTTTAAATGATAATACTAGTACTATTTTAGTCTCTCATTTATGTGTTGTACTTATTTTCTTAATTTAATAAAAAAAAACAATTTTAACTTTTTATTTTACCAGTAATAAAATGATAACTATACAAATATTTATAACTTGTTGTATCACAAGTTTAAAAAAGAAAAAAAAATAAAAATTTATGTCCAGCCAAATAGTTTTGAATACATTAGGATAAAGAGAGTAATAGTACTTTTAAAGTACTAGACACAATAATATATACTTTTCGAATAAATAAGAAAAAGATGCTTGAAAACAACTTTACAGAAAGTATTAATTGCAGCATAGAGGCGTATGAGATATGGGATAAGATTTGGAATATATGCAAATCGATAAATTTGTAAGTCAACCTTTAATAAATTTTCCTCCAAATCACAAAAGCCCCAATGTATTTGACCTTTTCAAATCTCAAGTATTTTTTACAATATTTCATTTAGCGTTTGGTAATTATTTTGAACTCGACTAATATAAATTTGTATCAAAAAGATTTATTTGAAAATAAAAGATTTTTTATTAAAAATAATTCTACATTCAAGACTGAAATTCGAGACCTTTCATAATTTTTTATGATAAATGTCAATTATTTTCATAATTATCGATCTAAATTCGTCGGCCATGCAAACTCATGCACGTGATGACCTTTAGAAGCTATTTGGACAAATAAGAATTTGTCCGAAGGAAAACAAGGTAAATATACCCTTCAACTTTATGATTCAGAGCGGATATATATATATATATATATATATATATTTATTTATTTTATTTTTTATTAAAAATTGATGCATATAAGTTATAACACTATAACTCTTATCGTCTAACAAATTGTGCATCCTCGTTGTCTAATAAATAATACATATTTATCCTCTCTTTTTTATTAGACCTAAATTTATTGAGTTAACTTAAATCCTCAAACTGATTTTTTTATTCCAAAAATGTTACGTGAATTAAAAAAATTATCTCATCCATATATATGTTCCTAAAAATATCAATTAAAAGGGTGAGTCATTTAACCTTCTACTTTCGGTGTAGATTATAGATATATAGGTAAAAAATTAACTAAAATTGCAATAAATATTAGATATGAACACATAACTTTTAAACTATAAAAATTCAATATTAATCTTTATAGATTGAACTCATAAAAAATAAATTTTAGACATGCATTTAAATTGGATCAACTATTTTTAATAAATACGACAATTAAAATAGACCAAAGGGATATACGTGGAAATATTTTTGCAAGATGTGTGCACAAAATTGATGGATCTAATTAGCGTAGAATATACAAATTTTTATTTTTATTTTTGCGGCCTTTAAGTTTTAATTATATTATAATCCTGTCATAAAAACGAGCGACGCTGATTTGTTTAATTCCGTATATGTTTATGTAAAGATAAATTTATATAGTGTTTTATTTTAGGACTCTTCCTTAGAAAATGATTTTTTTTCTTCCTCGGGAGCTCTCACTTTTTTTGTTCTCTTGATGACTTGAACTTACAATTTTTTGTTAGAAAATATGAGAGATACTTATCACCCGAGCAATTCACTCTTATCTCTTTAGAAAATATTACTCTCCTCTCCGTTCCAAGATAAATATGAGTAGCTTTTTTCACATTTGAAAATCAATAAATACAAGATATTATGTACTACTAAGCTATATTTATTTATTACATTTTTTTTAGAATTAAGTATTAGTAAGAAAAAATAAAGTGACAATCATTTTGGGATCAAATAAATTAAACTCCTAGAGCGATATTTGATTTGAGACAGAGAAAATAGTAACAACGTGTAGTTAAGGGCGGAGCCAAAAGGAAATTTACGATGAGTTCAATCAAGTTCAATAAATTTAATTGTCTTTGCTCTAAATCCTATATTTGTGTAATGATTTGAGTTGCTATAATTATAGGAGTAATATTTGTGTAAGAATTATATCAAAAGTTTAAATGCCTTCTTGATTTTATAAATTATTAATTATTTTAAATTAATTTTAAAGGCTAAAACATCAATTATTTTGAACCAAAGAGAGTAGAAGTTCTCAACCATAAATGCAATGGTTATCCAAAAAGAAGAGGAAAAAGTACTCTTTAAATCTATCCAACTGCCAACTTAATTACTTGGCTCCATTAATTAATGTCATCTTCAAATCTTTGCCTTTTCAATGTTTAGATCATGCTATAAATAGAGGCAAAATATTCACTAATTTCCTCATCCTTTTTCACTCTAAATTATCACAACCTAAATATAGTAAGTTATCAAGTAAGAAAAAAAAATGGGATTAAAGGCTTTTATACTTCTAAGCCTTGTTTTGGCTATTTTTGCAATTGTAACCTCAGATGTTGCAGCTAGGGAATTGGCTGAGAGCTCCACTACTACTGTGGAAAATAGTAAGCTTACTTTCCTTTTATAATGACCAAATTCCTTATATTAATTCATATCATATCACACAATATGTATGTAGCAAAATATATGTGTTCGGTAACTAGTTTGGAGGTGAGTTATGCAGATACTAAAATATGCATAGATAATATCATGGTTGGTATAGTTGGTTAGGAGGTAAGTTATGCGTGTATAAAATTAATTAATATGGTATTTAGTTTGCAATTTAGAAAGTCGAATAACTAATACATGTATAAGTTATATGAAGGAATCTATGTATTTTATGCGGAATAGAATTAAGATGGAATGAATAACTAAATCCTACATAACTAATACATGCATAAAAATTCATAGATTCTCTCATAACTACTCCCTGTATTACTAGTATCTACATTTTAAAGTTACGTGGCATAGTTTGACTCTGCACGAATAAGTTTAATTGGAGAAAATGATTTTTAAAATGTGTGGTCGTTTTGCACATGACATAACATTTGTATGACTATAAAACTTATGTAACTTGTACTCTTAAATATGTCATCATTAATATCTCATAAGCTACTAATATACTTTCTTTTTTTTCTAAAAAAAAAAGGTCATAGTGAGAATCGGATCGCCCTATATATATGTGTGTGAACTTTTCAAAAATTCAATAAATATTAAATTTTGAACCTACATATATATTGAATTCATACATGCAATGAATTCAAATGATAAGTACTTAAAAGTTGAATCCATTGAATTTAAATTTTGAATCCTCTAGTGATGATATCAAATATACACCTAACATGTACATGTACGATTTTTATTGCAGCAAAGAAATCTGAGAAGAAAAATGAGGTAAATGATGCTAAATATCCTGGAGGAGGTTATGGAGGAGGAGGATACCCTGGTGGTGGTCGCGGAGGTTATGGAGGGTATCCTGGTGGTGGTGGTGGTCGTGGAGGTTATGGAGGGTATCCTGGTGGTGGTGGTGGTCGTGGAGGTTATGGAGGGTATCCTGGTGGTGGTGGTGGTCGTGGAGGTTATGGAGGGTATCCTGGTGGTGGTGGTGGTCGTGGAGGTTATGGAGGGTATCCTGGTGGTGGTGGTGGTCGTGGAGGTTATGGAGGGTATCCTGGTGGTGGTGGTGGTCGTGGAGGTTATGGAGGGTATCCTGGTGGTGGTGGTGGTCGTGGAGGTTATGGAGGGTATCCTGGTGGTGGTGGTGGTCGTGGAGGTTATGGAGGGTATCCTGGTGGTGGTGGTGGTCGTGGAGGTTATGGAGGGTATCCTGGTGGTGGTGGTGGTCGTGGAGGTTATGGAGGGTATCCTGGTGGTGGTGGTGGTCGTGGAGGTTATGGAGGGTATCCTGGTGGTGGTGGTGGTCGTGGAGGTTATGGAGGGTATCCTGGTGGTGGTGGTGGTCGTGGAGGTTATGGAGGGTATCCTGGTGGTGGTGGTGGTCGTGGAGGTTATGGAGGGTATCCTGGTGGTGGTGGTGGTCGTGGAGGTTATGGAGGGTACCCTGGTGGTGGTCGTGGACGTGGCGGTGGAGGTGGAGGTGGATACTGCTCCTATGGTTGTTGTGAAAGGAATTACTATGGTAATGGTTGCAATAAGTGTTGTTACTCCAAAAGTGAAGCCATGAATAAAGTCACCCAAGCTAAGCCTCACAACTAAAATTACTAAGTTATAAGCAATATTTATGAAGTGTGTGTTTTAGTAGTATGTAAAATAGTTTTAATTTGTTGTTGCGAGTTTGAATAAATGTAGCTTCCATTCACTTCATGTGGATGGATGGTCAAATGTTATCTTTTCATTTGTACGTACTTACTCTTTTCATATATATGTTTGAATGTAATTAATATATCACAATAATAAGGTCCACATAAAACGCGTCGATAGTTGGTAAGATCTGCTTACTTATATACCCAATATGTTTCTTATGTTTTGCCGATATGGACTTCTTATCTTAAAATGGGACATCACATACATCCCCTTTATGGACTCAACGTCCTCATTGAGGTTTGCCCTTCCCGATGTGGCACGATTTATATAATGATAACGAAACTTACATTCATGATTAATTAATCACATAATTGATTCGTTCTGCTATGCCCTTTTTTTCCCCTTTATTTGAAATTGAAATCGCATCGGACAAATTAAATTTATAGAAGACATTTGCGGAAGAAGATTTGTAAACGAAAGGGAGATGTATTTAACCCATAAAACGCATTTCAAGAATGCGATTTATGAACAAAACTAAAAACACTGTTTCTTTTGATATAACTTTTTTATTTATTATTATTAGTACTTAAGATTTTGAAAAACGGCATGAAAACTCTATTTTTGGAAATTTTAACCAAGATCATTCACCAAATTGGCAACTCGTTCTTCCTATTTATATGTCATCATTTTAGACTCACGTCCATTAACCAAGATCATTCACCAAATTGGCTACTCGCTGTTCCTATTTATATGTCATCATTTTAGACTTCAGGTCCATTAAGAAATTAGGTAAGTTTATTATTGTACCCTTATTTAGTATTTTCTTTTAAAGTCAAGTTTTTGATAAATAAACATAAATTAATTTATTTTGATTAATTAAATTGACCAATGAACAAATACAGTAAAACCTCACTAAATCAATACTCGGTTAATTAATAATCTCTCTAAAATAATAATTTTCTCCGGTTCCGACTTGGGCCAATGGAAAAAATCATTCATTTCGATAAGATAATAAGATAATATATTTTTAGAAGACCCTTATATCAATATTATAAATTAATAATTCTTTAAAAGTACAAATATATCTAAGAAAATTTAGTGAAATATGATTCTATTATGTTCTTCTTTTTGTTAAAATTAAATTTAGTTGAAACTCATCTCTAACTATTCTTATTGCATCCAAAAGTTTCGGTGTTGTCTTTTCTAATATCACCATAAAATTTTGAAGAGTTATAGATGCAAGTGTTTTCTTACGCGTAACTGGTTCCAAAGGTATTGTATCATCTTCAATTTTATCATCAACATTGTTTTACTAATGATATCCACAATTTGTTCTAAGCTCTGGACCCTTTGAACATGTATCATTTTCACCCATCCAATAGGTTATTAACGTCCATTTTATTGTGGTAACTGAGATCATTAATCATGATCTCAAGTTCACGAATGACGTTTTCACAAGTGGGTTCTTTCAATTTCTTTGAGATTTCATCCCTAAACAATTTTTCGATGTCGAAAATCTCTTTAAATTAATAAATATTAATTTATCGATTAAATAATACCTCTACAAAATAATAATATTACATGGTCCCTCTTGTATTAATTTAGAGAGATTTTACTGTATTAATCATTTAGTTTTTCTATGTTGGTCAAATTCGTACTTTTAAGGCTAAGAACTCTCTCAAGGACAAAATAGGAAAAATAATATAATTTATGCATTGATTTTATGAAATAACATATATTAAGGACCATTTATTTTTAATAAAGATGATATATAAATAAAAAGAGAGTACTTGACAAAATTGAAATGTCTAAGATATTAATGCTGTAATAATTAGTGGGAAAATGATGGATCTAAATATAACGTACATTATCTATATTTTTCCAATAAATTCTGTAGGCTGCGGCCTTCAATTTTTGTTTTACTTTGAGGATTCTTACGGGTTATTGAAAAGTATTTCTTCCATATCAAATTTACAAATTATCAACCATAATTTTTTTACATGTTTTATAATAAATATTAATTAGAAGGAGTTTTGATTATTTTATTTTTATTTACGACTTAAGATTTAATCTCATTTCATTGAATATTAACTCTCTTTACGTATCGTTATTCATTACTCTATAATTGAAGTGTTTTTAGTTTTTCAATAAAATTACTTAATACTAAAGGTAAAATAAAAAGAATAAACAATTTTATTTGAAAGTTCTAAAATTACAAAAAATATTGAAATAACAATTTTTAAAAATCACAACAAATAATTTAAGACGGATTAGGTATATATTTATCTAAAATCTGTATTTCCTCCCTGATCTATAAAATTTCGGCTCTTTGTACCTCCCATTTTAATGTTCTTGTACAGTCAATTATATTCTTTATTTTTTAATTCGGTGTTTAATATTAAAATAAATCAACATACAAAATAAAATCCATTAAAAAGAGAAATACCCCTTATCAAGATTTTCCCATATTTTGACTATTATGTTCTTTTTTTGTCAACTTGTTATTTTTAAAGACGTACAATTTTTTCTCAGCTGGATCTTAATCTAGTCTAACTACAATGTACGTGGATTTTCTATACAGAAACTCAATCTATATATGGAAAGGGTCGGGTATCAAATCCCCTTGACTAAGTTGGAGTTAAAAAATTCACTTTATTATTACTCGATTCTTAAAAAGAGAAATGATTTTTTCAGCTAGTGCATACATATATAAGAGCGCATTTTGATTTTTCCTTTACTAGTAAAGGATCCCATTCATGATTCTCATGGTGTTTTCTGATCGTTTTCTTTTAGTGTTTCGATCTAAAGCAATATAATTATTTTTACTCTCTAATTAAGAATGTAAAATTTCTATTTTATTTAATGTAGAAAAAAAAGAAGTAAAAAGTACTACTCCTTGTCTACTTTATTACTAGCTAGACCGTCTATCCGATTGTCAACTTAATTAACAACTAGGTTAATATTCCATTAATGCCACCATCTTCAAATCTTTGCATTTTCCATGCTATAAATAAAGGCAAAATATTCATTAGTTTCCTCATCTTCTTCACATTTAATTATCATAACACAAGTAGTAATAGTTATAAAGTTTTTAAGCAAGAAAAAAAATGGGATTAAAGGTATTTATCCTTTTAAGCCTTGCTTTGGCTATTTTTGTAACGTTAACATCAGAAGTTGGCTGAGGGCTCCACAAATACTGTGGAAATTAGTAAGCTTTCCTTCCTTATATACCATCAGTGTATATATATACGTTGATATTGTATGCGCGTATATACAATGTATATGCTACATTTTGAAAGAACTTGTACTAAAAAAATTATCGCTATTTTTTTACAATTAAAAGGGGCACTAATTAATCTCGCTAATTATGAGAGAAAACATGTATATCGCTAATATAAAAAACTTTTTTTTGTTAGATATGTTATATATATAGTTTTGATAAAGAATTTTTTTATTAATTTTGTTTGATAAGAAATAAATTATAAGAAAATAAATAAAAGAAACTAATTAAAACTCGACAATTAGAGTCGGGTGGGTTGACTATGACCCATTGTTTAGCTTATTTTAATTTATTTATAATATTGACCCAAAAGATTCAATCCATTACCGTCCAAATTTAGTTCAGATCGCCTATTTTATATCCCCTTCCTTATAGTAGTAATAGAGTCAAACAAAGGAAAATTACACTCATTTTGTACTGACTAACTCTAATTTTTTAATTTCCCTTTAGATTTAATAAAATATCGAGCCTATTTTACTAGGTATCACTAGTATTTTCGACACATAACTTCAATCTATATACATGTGATTTTTTTAAAAAAGATCTCAACAAATATTTATGTTTTGAATGCAATAAATTTAAATCTTGAACGTGCTTATGATTATAGTGACTATCCCCTCTAACATGAACATGCATGCTTATATATTGTTGCAACAGACAAATCAGAGATGGAAAATGAAGTAAATGAAGCTAAATATCCAGGTGATGGATTCGGAGGAGGTTATGGAGGTTATGGAGGGTACCCGGGGCGTTGGTATGGAGGAGGGTACCCTGGAGGCAGATACTGTCGCTTCGGTTGCTGCCCGAGGAATTTCTATGGTGATGGTGGTTGCTTTAGGTGTTGTTACCCAGGAGAAAGTTGAAGCTATAACGTATTACTCAAGCTATTTACTAAGTAATATGTATTGTGTGTTTTAGTAGTAATATACTTTTGTTGAATAAATGGTCTGAAAAGATTGAGGGTCGATCAGAAACATATTCTCTAGCTATTTTATAAATGACTTCCATTCTCTCTGGATTTCCGTTGTGAGATCATAGTTGATATGTTGTTGTTAGTTTTGTTGAATAAATGTATCCTCCATTCACTTATGGTCAATGAGAAATAATATAATTAATTAAGCAATTTAATATATATTATTTATAATAATTTTAAATGAGATTGTTACATAGTTCAGTATGTATAATATATTGTAATATTCAAGATGTTTTTAACTCAAACTCATGTTATTCAGAGTTTATAACCATGATAAATAATAATAATAATATTTTGTAATGGGATAAATAATCCTGTGATTTTGATATAATATTTATCGTGGTTTTAGGTAATGTCCATACGCAAATACCAAACAAATTTAATTCCGTATTTTCTATTGAAATAATCCCCTAATCAAACGATAATTTTAAACTTTATTTGATTAGAAAGTGTTAATTAGAAACAAGTCACATCTCCATCGTCTAAATAAAATTTACTAATATATTTAAGGGGCTAACAATGTATTAATTAACCCTAAAATTTAATAAAGGTGACAAATGGTAATTTAGGTCCATCTTGTTTGAACGAAAACGGGTCAAGTAAATAAACGGCATCAAGACCCGCCCCGAAATTAGATCAAAATGAATTGGGTCAAAATATAGCAAATAACTGGTCATAATATAACCCTAGCATTATTGAAAATTTTAATTTTAGTTAATACTTTAAGCTTAAGCTAAATATCACAGATAAAGTTGAAAATTTTAAAATAATGATAGTATAGGCTGCCTCGCACGGCTAGCGGTAAGGTAGCGGTGAGCATGGTACGGTATTGAAAAGTTTAATTCAATAATTTTGGTTTACGATTTTTAAAAGTACTATACCACTATCATATCAAATTAATTTGACTTAGTTCAATATTTTAAAGTTCGATTTCGATATTTTACGATTACGATAAATTGGTAAATCGATAAAGCCCAAACCATGGTGAAAATTTTCAATTTCGATATGATATGATATTTAGTAATATCTACCATATCATGTCCACCTTTACCGCAAGGGCAGGACTTGACCCTTGCGGCCATGTGCATATGGTTAATGGCCGGGTGTCCGGCCAATGCACTAGGGCAAAGGACAACATAGGTGCGGCCAATGTGCAACAAGAGATGACGATGACGGCGATAATAACATATTTTCAGTAAAACTCCATAAATAAGATTTGGTGATGATAGAATATATATAAATCTTATTCACACCTCGTGAAGATAGGAACATTATTTACGAAAGACCCTCGACTCAAATGTCAAGTTGATAATTTGTGTAAGTTGACCTTTTAAACG